TGCTCCTTTGCAACTAAAAATGAATGAATGAATGAATGAATAATATTATTACAGTTAGCAACCAGCAAAATTAAAATAAGATAGGCAAAAACAAAGACAAAGCAACCCCAAAACTAAATCGAAACCATATGTAAACAAAACTGATTAATGTAATAAAACCAGCACAAAGAAACCACTCTTCTATAATTTTGAAGTGTCCATGCTACAGTACTGAATTTGGCTACCTGGTAGGAAAAGGGAAATACTGACATTGGCTGGATGACATAGAGCTTTTGAGATAGGTTTACTCTGTTTCTGTACAAGTCATAATATAGTAATATCTAACTGTTTCTATCAGGCCGGCTTGTTCTTTCTAAAAAAGACTCTTATAAATACAGCCCTCCAGCAAACAGATGGGGAAACATTAAAGCAGGCTAAAGTTAACAAGGAAAAATTAGTTATTTCCATAAATTCCCTTCCAGTGCTAGAAGGAGCTTCCTCTGGAGGAAGTACAGCTTTGATTACGACCAATAGTTTCCCTGTTGTAAACTTGATTGTAACCATGGCAGTAGGATTCTTGACACAAAAGCATAAGTTTATTGGCACAGGCATCAAAACACTGGCAAAAGTAAAGAAATACATTTCCCAGTTTTGGCTTAAACCTTATGCATCTCATTAGTACTTCTGGGCCACTTTTGGCAGCTGAAAACCAAAGAACTCAATGTTCCCCTCCTGCTCAAAAACTTGAGGCCGTTCTTAATGCACTTTTACTATTCACAGGGAAAGACTGAGCTAGGAAACACACAGTCTTCAGTAAATGAAGGTCCTTTATGGTTTTAATTTCTTTCTTTTTCTTATGTTTTGCGAATCTGGTTCAAGCAATCTGGAAGGCACGTGTGGTGGAAATTTATAATGCTGATATTGCTAGCTGTAAAGAAAAAAAAAAACCAATGTTTGCTATCTCACAAAGAAGCTTCTTTGGAATTAGAATTAGTTTGCCCACTTTGAGGCCTTTCCTCAAAAAGGAAAGCATTTAATGGCAGCAGCACCATGCCACTGTGGCCCCTTTTCTTTAATGCTGGGTCCAAAAAACAAAGCCATCATCTGATCCCGAGCCTTAAATCATGCTTAGATCTGTCAGTGTTCAGTACACTAGTGCTTTCTCTTTATTCTAATACAGGATTTGCTGCAGATACAATCTGGTGCACTTCATTGAACTACACCATTAGTGGTGCAGTCAGGTGATTCCTAGAAAGAAGAGCCAATCGAGCACCAAGTGGTCATTTTAAGTTGATCCAGAGTTGGGTTTCAGCAGGTTCTGACCAGTTCTGGAGAACTGGTAGCGGAAATTTTGAGTAGTTCGGAGAACTGGTAGTAAAGGTTCTGACTGGCCCCACCCCCATCTATTCTCTGCCTCCCGAGTCCCATCTGATTGGGAGGAAATGGAGATTTTACAGTATCCTTTCCCATCCATGCCCACCAAGCCATGCCCACCAAACTATGCCATGCCCACCAAGCCACACCCACAGAACCAGTAGTAAAAAATTTTGAAACCCACCACTGAGTTGATCCCTATCTCTAGTCCTTGGACATTATCTTCTAGGATCATTCTGCTTTAGGCAATGAAGGAGTCTACTTTAACAGATTAACTGAGTTGGAAGGAACCTTATAGGCCATCTAGTCCAAACCCCCACCTAAGCAGGAGACCCTACACCATTTCTGACAAATGGCAGTCCAATCTTTTCTTGAAAGTCTCAAGTGATGAAGGTCCCACAACTTCCGAAGGCAACTTCTGTTCCACTGGTTGATTGTTCTCATTGTCAGAAAGTTCCTCCTTATTTCCAGGTTGAATCTCTCCTTGATCAGTTTTCATCCATTATTCCTTGTCTGGCCTACAGGTGCTTTGGGAAATAGCTTGACAATAGCCATACAATTCTGAATTTCTCTATTTTAATCACTCCTGAAGTGAAATCACAAAATCCCTCCCTTTGTTGTTTGAGAACTGTGGAAAACCCTCCATCTGAAGTAAAAGTTTGGTGTCTTCTCAGCCAAAGACACGGAATATTACTGAAACGAGTGAGGTCTTCGTAATGAGAAACATATCTGGCCCTTACTGAATTATGAACAGTGACTAGATGTCAGGTTTGGTATAATTTATGCCAACATCGTCTAATATAATATGTTTTATGCTGTCCTTTTGTTAAAGAGGTGTCCCAAAGTCCTTTTAAGTAACTTCCAGAGCCACCACAAATTCTGGTTTTTTTTCAATTTCATAACTAACCGCCAAGAATCAGTAGTTTCCTGCCAGTTTTCTGCAGAAGAACAAAGAGGTGTCAACCTTCTTTTGCCAAATAAACAACATTCTGTTTTTCCAGAAAAGTTTGGGGTAGAAGGTCTGGTGTCTCATACTTTTGTGACTACCACTTCAACATCCTGTTTTATTTATTTATTTATTTATTTATTTATTTATTTATTTATTTATTTATTTATTTATTTATTTATTTATTTATTTATTTAATGTAGGGTCTAGACTAGAGACTAAAAATTGCTAGATCCGATACGAACAACCAGGAGAAATGGGCAACCTTGTTTTGGCAAAGATTGTGTCGTAGAAATGAATACTTGCAGAGGTCTAATTTTGTGTTCAACATTTCAGGTAGAAATTTGGACTGGTAATATATTTTCATTCAAAAGCTTTTAGTCAGACAATTCTCTTTTCTTGTTTGACATGGTTCAGATATGAAGCCTCTGAAGCTTTCAATTGAAATATACTAATGGTGAAGGTATATAAATAATCCACAACTTACAACAATTCCTTTACTGACTGTTCAAGTCTGGATACATTGAAAAAAGTAACTTAACACCAGTGCTCACACTTACAGCTATCACAATATACCTACAATCATTTGATCAAAATTTGGGCACTTAGCAACTGTATCAGTGGTGGGTTTCAATTTTTTTTTTACTACCGGTTCTGTGGGTGTGGCTTGGTGGGCGTGGAATGACTTGATGGGCATGGCTTGGTGGGCGTAGCAGGGGAAGGATACTGTAAAATCTCCATTCCCTCCCCACTCCAGGGGAAGGATACTGTAAAATCCCCATTCCTTCCCCACTCCAGGGGAAGATTACTGCAAAATCTCCATTTCCTCCTGATCAGCTGGGACTCAGAAGGCAGAGAATAGATGGGGGCAGGGCCAGTCAGAATTTTTACTACCGGTTCTCCGAACTACTCAAAATTTCCGCTACCGGTTCTCCAGAACTGGTCAGAACCTGCTGAAACCCACCTCTGAACTGTATGTATGTATTTATACAGTGGTTGCAGGATCACCATTTGCAGCCTTCCCAACTGGCTTTGATAAGCAATATAATGGGAAAAACTGGAAAAACTAATTTAACAAATGCATGATTTGTTTAAAAACTACAGAGATTCGCTTAATAACTATGGTGAGAAAGGTCATAAAATCTGGCACAACTCACTTAACAGTCCCAATTATGGGTACAAGCCGAGCACTATCTGTGTTTTTTGTCAAGTCATTCTCAAATAAACAGCTCTGATGTGCTATGCCCCAAATAGCAGAGTCCATTCCAAAATCATTGGGCAGATGTCTTTCTTATCACCAGATATTTTTGGTAGCTGGAAATATCCAGGACTGAACTAGGGATATTTTACAAAATATCTGCAGTAAATAGCAGTATGAGGATGCTTTATATTGCCCTTAAAATTAAAGCATATCCTTCATAGTTTATTAATCCCGTACTTCAGTTACAGGAAGATTGTATTCCTTGGAACAAAGATCCATTGTCTATTCAGGATTATTAAGCAAAGCCTTCAAATGTGGAATGTTTTGAACCTAGCCTCGATCTTCTTTTCTTTTGGGAAACTATTCCAAATATAAAAGCTGGAGCAGATCATCTTGGAGCTGGAGAAGGGGGCTCTGTCAACAGCCTAAACCACTAATGGAGTATATATGCAGCTCTAGCAAAAGAAAAGTCTGCAAGGAGGACTTTAGAGAAGAAGTATTGCTATTTTGTAATCCGAGACTTAATTGGAAGAGACTAAGAACAAGATTGTAAAACCAGTGTGCTTCCAGATGCAATTCAAGGTGTGCTGGTGGTTACCTTAAAAGCAGTTCATGGTTTGGGGCCAAGTTGCTTGCAGGACTATCTCTCCCCCATGGGATCTACTTTTGTCCTTTTAGATCCAGCACGAGAGGCATGTGAGGGTCCCATCCACTAGAGAAAGTGGCCCCAGGAAGATAGCTTCTTCTGTTCTGATGCCCACCCTCTGGAATGTCATCTCCCCAAGATTAACTTTGCCCCAACCCTATTGTTTTTTTGTAAGGCATTTAAAAACCTGGTGTGCCATCTAGCCTGGGGGCCTGGCAGTAAGGGAGAGCCCATTTCATGCTTAAATTAAATACAGGATGTTACGAATTCTTATATAATTTGTAATTGTTCTCAACAATTATTTGGTCTTTTTTTTAAAAAATGTTGATTGTTTTATCCCATTTTTGTTTAAATTGTTAGCCGCCCTGCGAGATGTATGGGCAGCCATATATATTTATTAAATTAATAAAAAATAAGCATATGGAACCTACAGAATAGAATAGAATAGAATAGAATAGAATAGAATAGAATAGAATAGAATAGAATAGAATTTTTTATTGGCTAAGTGTGATTGGACACACAAGGAATTTGTCTTGGTGCATATGCTCTCAGTGTACATAAAAGTGTACATAAAAGCCATTTGAAACATACATTAGAGCAGGCATGCAAATACATACCCCTTTCAGATACATCCTTTTAATAAAAACTGGAGGAAAAATAAGTTTTGTTTGTTCTCTTTGTAATCATTGTACAAGCCGATTACCTATAAAAGCAGTGCAAAATTAGATCGCAGAGCTGATTAGGGCATCTCAGAGCAAAAACTAACCAATGAAAAACAGCTGTAGCAAGAAGCAACAATGAGGACATCCGCCATAGCAAGCACATTCATGAAATGGTTCAAAAAATGCATCTGAGGATTTGAGGATACAGATGATGGCTATGTGGAAATGCCCTAAGCTGCGTGTAGGAGTGTGGTACACACCCCAGCAATTTATTTGCTGTACTGCAACACATTCTTAGCAGATGGCAGCTGACCATGTCTGGACTTGGAACCTCATCAGGACTGGTGCTCATTAATGGTAGACCTCCAGGGAACATCAGGGCTGTAAAACAGACTGGAAATCAAAACTGCATCCCAGAAAGAAATGGCAAACCACATCCACCGCACGCAGTTATGTCCATGATGTTGTCAAAAACACCATTCAGTTTGACTGCAATAAAATAGGAATAGAAAGCTGGAGTGGAAAAAAACAGAAACTGATCAGGGAAACAGAAAGTAGTCGGTTCCTTCTTTTTTTAATCTATATGTTTGTTGTTAAAATATTGAAATATAAAGTAGAAAAAAAGCACCAAAATACAAAAAAAAAATTTTTTTTTGCTATATTTGAATTAAAAAGATTCTACAGTGAAAAAAGAAAAAAGTACATTAATGTTTAATGATACATTCTCCCTCCTTCCCTTTGAAATAGCAATAGCACTTAAATTTATATACCGCTTTGTAGTGCTTTATAGTCTTCTTTAAGCGGTTTACAGAGTCAGCATATTGCCCCCAATAATCTGAATCCTCATTTTACCCACCTCGGAAGGATGTAAGGCTGAGTCAACCTTGAGCTTGGTGAGATTTGAACTGCCAAATTGCAGTCAGCCGGCAGTTAGCAGAAGTAGCCTGCGCTACTGCACTCTAATCACTGCACCACCAATTGTACCACCGCCTTATATAGAAACCATCACATTATAAGGAGCAAACTATTTTGGTCAGCATATCAGCCTATGGCACATCAACCATTAAAAGAGTACCTTACTTCTAATTGTCTATGAGAAAGACAACATCTTCAGAGATGACACTTATCAAACAAGGGACGAGCATAAAAAAGTGCTGTGCAAATAGCAAGATGGAAGTAGGGAAGCTGTATACCAAGAAAACTTCAGTGCTGGGGAAAGTAGCAGACCCAAGAAGTTAAAAAAAAAAACTGATGGGTTTGAAAGAAGGAACCATAGGTACTTAAAGGTAACATTTAAATATGAACCTGAGAAACCTTGCTCAATGAGCATACTCATACCTCTGGTTATATAAAGATTATTAACCAGCTTAAGATACAGAAGGAACTTGACAGACTTGGATATTGGGCACTATCCAACAAAATGAAATTCAATGGTGAAAAAAATAAGGTTCTACATTTAGGCAAGAAAAACAAAATGTACAGGTACAGTATATGTGGTACCTCGCTCAATAGTAGTAACTGTGAGAGAGTTCTTGGAGTCCTAGTGGACAACCATTTAAATATGAGCCAGCAGTGTTCAGCAGCTGCCAAAAAAGCCAACACAGTTCTCGGCTGCATAAAGAGAGGGATAGAATCAAGATCACGTGAAGTGTTAATACCACTGGTAAGGCTACACTTGGAATACTGCATCCAGTTTTGGTCTCCACGATGTAAAAAAGATGTGGAGACTCTAGAAAGAGTGTAGAGAAGAGCAACAAAGTTGATTAGGGGAGTGGAGGCTAAAACATATAAAGAACTGGATATGTCTAGTTTAATGAAAAGAAGGACTAGTGGTGACATAATAGCAGTGTTCCAATATCTCAGGGGCTGCCACAAAGAAGAGGGAGTGAAGCTATTCTCCAAAGCACCTGAGGGTAGGACAAGAAGCAATGAATGGAAACTAATCAAGGAGAGAAGCAACTTAGTACTAAGGAGAAATTTCCTGACAGAACAATTAATCAGTGGAACAACTTGCCTCCAGAAGTTGTGAATGCTCCAACACTGGAAGTTTTAAAGAAGATATTGGATAACCATTTGTCTGAAATGGTGTAGGTTGGATTAGAAGACCTCCAAGGTCCCTTCCAACTCTGTTATTGTATTCTAACCCAGCTTTGTGGCTTTACCAGGCTGTCCAACTTGAAACAGCTGACATTTGGGACTTGCCAAGCTGGGATTCGTTCCTTTTTCTAGAAACCCAAAATAATCGCTGTTTCAAGGTTGGATGACACAGCAAGTCAGAGTTGAGTTAAAATACTTTTCATGGCTGGGATAAAAGAATAGCTTGCCTGAGTTTGTTAACTAAAATTTATTTGTTTAGCACAAGTAAATATGTCAATATTGCTTGCTTCTGAACAAGAGAGAGATGATCCACTGATACCAGATACCCAGAGAAACATTTTCAGTTTTTAATCAATTTTAAAAATGAGGTGAGAGATTCACATTCCTTAAGCACAATTGGATACTAACTTGCCCACAAAAAGAACAAATGTCCCAAATAAATTGGAATTTTAAACTTTGAGCATTTATATCAAAGATGAAAAGAACAATAATCTGAACAATAATCAGGTTCTTCAGTACCTGAACCCAAAACAAACAAGTTTGTAAATAAAAATTTAAATGAAAGTCTTGGATATCATGGATATCATGGAAAACATGGATATCTGAGGGAAAGGGGAAACACAGAAGGACATGAATTACTCCAGAAGTACTCCAGAATTTTAAAAAATATTGATTATATGTAATTATTTCCATCATGCTTTAAATTTTCTGTTTGACCGCTAGCACTGGTCCTGGAAAATATGAATATCTGTATCCGATAAACCCCCAAAAGTAGAAAACTCTGGTACTGAAGCAAGATTTGCAAATAGTGGTATTTTAGTAGGGGCAAAAAATATTTAACTTTGTAAGTTATGGAGATCCTACTGAACAATGAAGCAACTGGAGGGTTCAAAAATGGGAAAAGGGAGACCTCTGGCCCAACAGGTAAGAGTCAAAAAATATTGTGATTAATGAGCTTTAAAAGCAAGTGAGTCTGAGGAAGATCTTAAAACTGAGTTGAATCTCATGGATAAATGTTTATGCAAAACCAAAAAAAAAAGTTGCAAAAACCTGAAAAACACTGAAACACAAATTAAGAAAGTTGCCACACCTAAGCTTCCACAAGTGAAGAATTTAGTATAAAATTATTAGTTTCTTTGGGGTTTGCAACATTCCCAAACCTACAAGCTTGGGGAGAGAAGGAGTAGGGAGGGAAACTTCAGATCTGAGCAACAGCTGTACTGGAGAGCAGATTTAAACTCTTTTAAATAAATTCTTGTAAGCCAAGTGGAAAACTTTTTTTTAATTTGATTTATATGCCACCCTTCTCCGGAGACTCAGGGCGGCTTACAGTGCGTTAAGCAATAGCCTTCATACTTTTGTCTATTTTTATACAAAGTCAGCTTATTGCCCCCACAAACTGGGTCCTCAATTTACGTACCTTAGAAAGGATGGAAGGCTGAGTCAACCTTGAGCCTGGTGAGATTCGATCTTACTTTAATTGCAGACAGCTGGTGTTAAATTACAGTGCTTAGTCTGCTGAGCTATCCAGGCTCCTTACTTCCAGTTTTGATGATAAAGCATTAGATGTGGCTCATACGTCTGCTGTTTCAGAAGCCAGGGCTCATAAATATAAACAGAAAACAGGAAATAGAATAACAGAGTTGGAAGGGACCTTGGAGGTCTTCAAGTCCAACCCCCTACTTAGGCAGGAAACCCTACACCACTTCAGACAAATGGTTATCCAACATCTTCTTAAAAACCTCCAGGGTTGGAGTATTCACAACTTCTGGAGGCAAGTTGTTCCACTGATTAATTGTTCTGTCAGGAAATTTCTCCTTAGTTCTAGGTTGCTTCTCTCCTTGATTAGTTTCCACCCATTGCTTCTTGTCCTGCACTCAGGTGCTCTGGAGAATTTTGGCAGCTGCTGCACACTGCTGGCTCATATTTAAATGGTTGTCCACTAGGACTCCAAGATCCCTCTCACAGTTACTACTATTGAGCGAGGTATCCCATATACTGTACCTGTGCATTTTGTTTTTCTTGCCTAAATGTACTTACTTTTTTCACTATTGAATTTCATTTTGTTAGATAGTGCCCAATGTTCAAGTGTTTCAAGATCCTTCTGTATCTTAAACCTATCTTCTGGAGGGTTGGCTATTCCTGCTAACTTGGTGTTCTTTGTAGATCAGACGAGTTCCCCATCTATCCCCTTGTCCAAATCATTGATGAAGATGTTGAAGAGTACTGGGCCTAAAACAGAGCCTTTGGGTACTCCACTGAATACTTCCCTCCATGTAGATGCAGTTCCATTGAGGACTACACGTTGAGTGCGGTTGGTCAGCCAGTTATGAATCCATTTGGTGGTGATGCTGTCTAACCCACATTTTTCTATTTTATCTAGTAGTAGGTTGTGGTCTACTTTTTCAAATGCCTTATTGAAGTCCAAGTAAATTATATCGACAGCATTCCTCTGGTCCACTAATTTTGTCACTTTGTCAAAGAATGCAATAGGATTAGCCTGGCATGATCTATTTTTGACAAACCCATGTTGGCTTTTGATTATTACTTTGTTTGTTTCTAGCTGTTCGCTGATTCGTTGCTTGATTATCTTTTCCAGAATCTTCCCTGGTATTGTGATCAGGCTGATAGGTCTGTAGTTTCCTGGATCTATTTTTTCCTTTTTTGAAACTACATCAGGTCTTTTCCAGTCCTCTGGCAGTTCCCCAGTGCTCCAGGATCTTTGAAAGAGATAGTTCAGTGGTTCTGAGATCTCATCTGCCATTTCCTTCAGAACCTTTGAGACAATGATGAATCCGCATACAGATGGGAGGTTGAACAACTAGCCTCGTGGTGCAACCAGAACAATCTGGAACTGAACACAATCAAAACCGTAGAAATGGTGGTGGACTTTAGGAGAAACCCTCCCATACAACCACCGCTTACAATACTAGACAACACAGTATCAACAATAGAGACCTTCAAATATCTAGGTTCTACCATATCTCACAACCTAAAATGGACACCCAACATCAAAAATGTCATCAAAAAAAGCACAACAAAGAATGTTCTTTCTGCGCCAACTCAGAAAGCTCAAACTGCCCAAAGAGCTGCTGATACAGTTCTACAGAGGAATGATTGAGTCTGTCATCTGCACCTCTATAACTGTCTGGTTTGGTTCTGCAACCCAACAAGACAGACACAGACTTCAGAGGATAATTAGAACTGCAGAAAAAACAACCTGCCTTCCATTGAAGACCTGTATACTGCACGAATCAAAAAGAGGGCTGTGAAAATATTTACAGACCCCTCACATCCTGGACATAAACTGTTTCAACTCCTACCTTCAAAACAATGCTATAGAACACTGCACACAAGAACTAGACACAAGAACAGTTTTTTCCTGAACTCTTCTAAACAAATAATTCCCTCAACAC